ATATTATTTAGTTCAATTCAGTTCAATTTTTGTACCATCAAAAGTGAAACCGAACCAATAAATTTTAGTTTAGTTCGGTTTGGTTTTCTAGTTTCAATTTGATTTTTAATTGGTTTGGTCTTCTTTAGTTTCAGTTTAGTGTTCGGTCTTTTTGTTTTTTTCTTTTCGGTTTTCCAAGCCCACCCCTTAGATTAAGTTGCACATATAAACCGTCTTATTTTCCAAACATATATATGTACAACGAAACATCTTAATAATGTAGAGGTATCTTTCCCTAAACGACAAAAAGGTTGCATTCATTTCCTTTTGTCATTGGTTGTCCAAAAATGTTACTCTTATTTATTTGTGTCATCTTTCTAATAAAGATATGATCTATATACACTGGCAGGCCATATCTTTATTAAATAGATGATACAAATAAGTGATAAGTGTAATATTACTCTTGTTCAAGCATCCCACGGCAAAAAATATGCAATAGATCTAGAAACAAATGAGAGAGACCTAGAGAACCATTAGGTTGTTAACAGAAAAATATTTAGACCGTTTGATTTAATCTAAAGGATTGTTATTAGCATTTCTAAAATTTCATTTCACACTCCAAATTTTCTATAATAAGAAAAAAAAATACACTTGTGAGGAGTGTATAATGAGATTTTTGGAATGCTAATAACACTTCCCTAATCATAATATGACAGTGAGATTAGTAATGGAGATGATGGCATAATACCTTATTACGGTGAAATCAAACTAAATGTATCTTAATTGTTTCCTATTAAGACTTAATGAGTTGATTTGTTAATCTATTTAGCTAGCTATTCTAGAAGTTCTTGAAAGTCTTGAGAGCAACACCCCGCGTGTCAAGATACATGTGGGAAATAAGTTCAGGCTTTCAACAAAAATTTCAACTGGCCACTGTTTGTTGAACAGCATTGCTGATTCTAAGCTTATTGAATTGACTATACAAAACGAGCAACTTATAGATAAAAAAAAGTGGTCATGATTAATTAATTACTTGCATTCGTCACCTAATTAGGTTCTTTTTTTTCTTTTTTTTTTTAAATTTTGTGAATGATTAGATATCTATTACAAGATAAAAGAAGATAATGAAAAAGAAGCAGAGCTAGAAGAAGGAGACAAACGATACTAGAACAATATAATAGAAGAAGAACTACACAACAAAGACAACATGATGGAAGCCTAGAAGAGTTGAAAGTAGATAAGCAAAAGTTGAAAGAGCAAAATAATAATGCAATAAGTGGGGAATATGTCACAATAGCACTGTGCAAAGTTACATACAATAAGTCTAGCATTAGGCAAAAATATAAACATCACTATGGGACCCACGATAATAAATAAAATAATGACATAAGAGTAAATAAAAAAATACTTAATCCATTATGGACATTTTCCACCAAAAATTCCCTTTTAATTAAAAATAAAATTGAAAGGAGTTTTCATTAAATTCCCTTTTTGTAAACGATGAATAAAATACTTTGTAGATTCCATATTTTAATTTTAATTTTAATTTAAGAAATGTTAATGGGACTCTCTCAAAGTAAGACTATCCATGGACTCACTGCCACCTCATAATTTAACATTTGTTCTTGTGCCAACATTATAAAACATTGTGCTAAAAACATGCGGTAGCAAAGAGTCCCTAGAGACTCCACCTTTTGAAAGAGCCTCCTTAACATTTCTTAAATTGAAAAATGCTAAAGAGATTCTTTCAAAGTGAGTCTTTTCATGGACTCATTGCCACCTAACAGTTTAACGTTTTTTCTTGTGCCAACATTATTAAACATTGTACCAAAAACATGAGGTGGCCAATGTTCTAAAAGATGCTAGGCGCTAGTCTGGCGGCGTCCTAGAGCCTAGCGCTAGACGGGGCCTAGGAGGATTTACGTAAAATCGTATAAATAAGTGACTATTTATATTTAAAAAAATACATAATTGTACTGAGATACATAGATTACAAAATAAAATAACATATAGATTATTTTAAGTAAATTTATTACATATAATAATAATAATAATAATAATAATAATATGACTTATGTGCATAAGTTGAGGAATATTTCTTTTGGTTTTGTAACATTTTTGCTTAGCCTAATATGTTTTAATCATTGTTATGCCTTACTTTTCATTAAAAAAAGATTGAGCTTGTTTTCACATTAAATAAATAAATAAAAATTTATTCCCTAATTTTAAAAGAACTACCAGCCAATTTTAAAATCTTTAACTCTAGCCCTAGCCAACATAAACTCTGTGTTGTCGCACTTCTTCTCTGCAATTGCAGATTTGACAGAGCTCCGTCTCTCCCTTTGTCTCTTCCTCTCATGTCAAATGTTTTAGGCCGACTCCTCTTCTACGCACGTAGAGAAGGGAAAAGGAGCAGCAACATGAAGACTACCTTTGCAACGATAATTTTTCTTGAGTTACATAACCGCCCGGGGGTCGCTGAGGCCGCCTAGCCCTCCTAGGGGGCCGTCTAGGCGCCGCCTAATAGTCTAGCCGACTTGTTGAATGATTTTGCTGAATTGACGGCAGTCGGTCTCCGTCGAGTGCCTAGGTCGATTTTTACAACACTGGAGATGATAGAGAGTCCCACTTTTTGGAGTCTCTTTAACATTTCTCTTATAATTTTTGGAAACAATTATTTTTTGGGTACAAATTTCTAGAAAGATATTTTTTGGAGAGTGCTATCCAAGCACATATTTCTATTTCTTACACATCCCTCTTAATTTCCTACTATCGGATTAAATGAATTGAAGAAGGTTAATCGCAAAAAATTAGCAAGGGTTTGTGAGAGATAAAATGTGTGGGTGAATATCACTACTTTAAAAAAAAAAGAAAAAAAAAAAAACACTCCCAAAGTAGCTTGGATTCGGTAAGTGGGATGAATTTTTGTCTGTTATTATATTTAGGAAGTGCTATATTCATACATTATTTTTCACTTTTTACACATCCTTACTAATTTTTTGTCATTAATTTTTTTTTAATTCATTCAATTTAACGGTCGAAAATTAAGAAGAATGTATAAAAAATACGAATGAATGTCTGGATAGTGCTACCTTATATTTGTAGCGTTGAAGGACGTAACGGTTTGCTTGCCAGTTTTGCTTTGTTTGATGGTGTTGAAGGACGTAACCATGTGCTTTTCAAATTCGCTTTGTTAGTTTAAATAGTCTCATATATTCCAATGTTGGTTTTCGAGTAAAAATAAAACAAAAAACATTCCAATGTTGGTGGGCTGATAAGTTTTGATTATGCTTTCTTGCTTAATTTCCTGCCCTCCTCGTGTACCCGCAGGAATCCCACGATTCCAGAAGTCCTCGCTTGAGAGCGCAAAATATAGCCATCATGTGATGGAAGAAAGACCATACGGTAAATGCTACACTTACTATTATGATGTACTATCACTTATATCATATCTCTAATAGAGATGGATTTGCTAACGCATGTGAGTCTCATCTTTATCAGAGAGATGATAAAGTGATGATACAACTAGATGATGAGAATAGCATTTTTGCATAAAATATGGTTGATATTTTGACTTGCAAAAATATGGGTGGTGCCGGTGGCACTCTCAATACTTGCGAGGACTTCTGCAATTGTGGGTTCAAAATTCAGTGGTAAATGGCGGATTACGAGACTTTTTTAAAACAAAAAACTGGAGGTTTCGGGTTCGAAATCCGCTGCTGGTGTGGAAGCCAAACTTATGGCTAAAGAGAGGCTGAAATGCCTATGTGAGTTTTCTTGACTTTCAAAAGAGATGAATAACCGTGACTTATCATCAGTTTTCCTTATTTTTAAAATTAAAAAAAAAAAAAAACATTGTTGAAAAGGAAGAACTGATCTTTGATTATCAAATTGTTGGATACTCTTATAGACCTATTATCAATGTCTAAAATATCGATATTATCCCGATATTTCCATCGAAATTTCCGTGTTTTTGGAGTACCGATATTTCCGATATCATCGATATTTTAGACCTTGATAGGAACTCTATGTGGTAATAAGTCACTCATGTATCTTACCATGCAATGTATGAAGTGTAAAATATTGTACTAATTCATTATATATAAATGATATGGTGTGTTTAAACTTCTTTCATTAATTACTACATATTTTCTACACTCACAATGTTTGTCAACTCGCTATATAATCAACTTAAATCAGTTAAATCCATTATGCAATGCATTTCCTTCCAATTTTTTTTTGTGATAAACTAATAGATTATTGACTAAATAAACATTCTGCAAAGTTTCAATAAAAATTTCCAGGTTTTTCTTAAAATTTCCGTGGTTTTTATTCAATTTTTTTCGATATCGATAATATCCCGATATTTCCATCGAAATTTCCGTATTTTTAGACCACCGATATTTCCGATATAATCGATATTTTATATCTTGCCTATTATATAACTCTTATAGACTCATCATTTCATCTCAGAAACTTCATTTTGAAATTGATTAGTTTAGTACTTAAATATATTGTAGAATAATTAGATAGCTAATTTCTCAAAAAAAAAAAAAAAATACTACTTTATTCTTGTAGACTGGTCATTTCAATGTTATTTTTTTTTTAATCTCGATACGTATGAGAAGGTTGGCCACCGACACCAAATTAATTAGTGATTCCTAAAGCTTACTTCTGGATTTGGACCCCATCTGCATCATTTTTGTCATGATCCTAAGAATCAAATCTTATCCGATAATTTATCAATCACAAATTATTTTATTTAAAATTAAACATAAACAATGTCTAACAAAAATTGATCGTATAATGTACGATAAACGGATAAAATATGAAGATCCTCACAAACAGAATCCGGAGAAAATCCTCATTCCTTACTTATATAACCATACATAACTTTCATAAAAGGTGGGCTGGACAACGAACACGTTGATTTATAATACGGATTATGAACACGAGAAAGTTGATGACATACGTCCCAGCTTCTCAGTGTCTAGCTAGCTCTATAAAATGGAACCATTTCCTTCATTTATCATCACAAAAGTTTCATCTCGATCGACTTACTTATAATTCTTTTTACTCATCCTCTTCTGATATACATAATATTCTCTGAGTCTTTGAAATTTGAAGATATGGCTCCAGTTGCTACTCAAACCATGGATGTAAAGAGCATCAAATCGCTTGCGGAATCACCCGCTCTCTGCTCTGTTCCTTCTGCTTATGCCTTCAACATAAACCCCAATGATGAAGCAGATCCAAACGATCCCGAATTTGCAATCCCTATAGTTGATATGTCTCTTCTCACCTCGGGATCTCCTGATCAACGCTCCAAAATAATCCACGACCTGGTCAAAATTTGCAAAGAATGGGGCTTCTTCATTGTAAGTAGTTTAACTAAGTACTAACTACTTCAGTTATTTTTTAGGAGAAATATTTGAGTGACGGTTGCTAGTGTTTTAGAGTTACTGGTAGCAATTTGATAAAGAAAACAACAAAAATGATACTTTTGTCACATTTTCGATAAATCATTTGTATCGTCTCTCTAATAAAGATGAGACCCATATGCGCCTTTATTAGAGAGGTGGGACAAATGTGGTACAAAAAATGTAGTAAGTGTAGCATTACTTGAAAAAAAAGCAAGCTAATTAATCTTGGTCACGATGTATTCATTACAGGCAATTAACCATGGAGTCCCAGAGAGTCTAATGAAGGGGATGATTGACGCGTGCCATGGATTTTTCAGCCTCCCAGACGAAGAGAAGGAGGAGTTCAAATCCGGAAATGATGTGCTGGACATGTTCAAGTACGGAACCAGCTACAATCTTGCATTAGACAAAGTCCTTCTCTGGAGGGACTTCTTCAAGGTGAGAGTACATCCCGAGTTCTACTCCCTCTACAAACCGGCTTGCTTCAGTGAGGTTTCAATGGAGTTCAGCAAGAGAACAAGAGAAGTAGCATTGGAGATAACACGCGCAATCTCCGAAAGTTTGGGACTGGAGCCCAACTACATACATGATGCGATGAACATGGATCGCGGCCTACAAATGCTCGCCGCCAACTACTATCCGCCTTGCCCTCAGCCAGAACATGCAATTGGTATACCACATCACACTGATCATGGCCTTGTCACCCTCCTCATCCAGAATGAGATGAATGGCCTCCAAGTTGAACATAACGGCAAGTGGCTCACCGTCAGTGGCGCTGCCAACGGTTTCTTTGTCAACCTCGCTGACCAAATGCAAATTCTTACTAATGGCAAATACAAGAGTGTGATGCATCGGGCAACTGTGAACAACAAAGCTACGAGGATATCTATTGCCATACCACATGGACCATCAATTGATACACTTATCGCACCGGCACCGGAGTTACTGGAAAAAGAAGGCCAAGCTCCGAAATATGTTGGAATGAATTATAAGGAATATATCCAGCTTCAACAGAGCGGCAAGAACTACATGAAATCCACCTTTGATCACATACTAGCGTAACTGAGCTTTATACAGAGTCCCGTGGCTTGGTCACACTTCAAACGATCTCAACCATATTGAAAGAGCTGCAGCCCTTTTGATTTCTTTTTCTTCGAACTGTTTTAGTCTTTTGTTTCAATGATCACGTCATATCGGTGTTGGCTTGATGTGTTGTTAGCACCAAACAGCCTTGTAGTTCAATAATATTAAACATCGCAGACTAGCAGCTGGCTTCGATTGAAACCATTTGCTTGCCCGTTTTGCTTTGTTTTATAGTGTTGAAGGACGTAACCATGTGCTTGCCAAATTTGTTTTGTTAGTTTAAATAGTCTCATATATATTCCCATGTTGGTTTTCGAGTAAAAATAAAACAAAAAACATTCCGATGTTGGTGGGCTGATAAGTTTTGACTATGCTTTCTTGCTTAATTTCCTGCCCTCGTCGTGTACCCGCAGGAATCCCACGATTCCAGAAGTCCTTGCAAGTCTTGAGAGCGTAAAATATAGCCATACATAATTTTCATAAAAGGTGGACTGGACAACATACACGTTGATTTATGGCTATATTTTAAGTCAAAAGCCATCATGTCATGGAAGAAAGATCATACGGTAATGCTACACTTCCCATCTTGTTGTATCATCACTTGTATCATATCTCTAATAGAGGTGGGCCTGCCAACTCATGTGAGTCCTATCTCTATTAGAAAGGTGGTACAAGTGATGATACAACTAGATGATGAGAATAGCATTTTTGCATAAAATATGGTTGATATTTTGACTTGCATAAAATATGGGTGGTGTCGGTGGCGCTCTCAAGACTTGCGAGGACTTTTGGAATCGTGGGTTTGAAACCCAGTGGTAAAGGGCGGATTATGAGGTTTTTTTAAAACTAAAAACTGAAGGTCTCGGATTCGAAACCCGTTGCTGGTGTGGAAGCCGAATGTGTGGTCAAGGGGAGGTTGAAATGCCTCTATGAGTCTTGCAGACCCCCAAAAAGAGTGGATAATCATGGTTTGCCACCAGTTTTTCCCCTTTTTAAACAAAGGGCAATAAGTATTTTTAATTTAAATTTTGGTTAGTTTTATATTAAATGAAAAATGTAGGTTATATTTCAATAGGTGATCTCTAAAATGGCTATATTTCCAAGTTTCCCAAATAAGTTTAGGCTTTCAACAAAAATTTCAACTGACCACTGTATTCGTTGAACTGCATTGCTGATTCTAAGGGGGGGGGTGTAGTCAAATTAGGAATTGATAAGATTTCACAAGATTTTAATAGACTTTAAAATTAGAGTGTGCTCAATCAAGATTTTAAAAGAGGATTTTAAAAGATTTTAAAATCATAGTATAGTCAAATTAGGATTTGAGAGGATTTTAAAAATACATCCAACTCTACGGGTAGTCAATTTAGATTTTGATAGGGATTTTTAAAGTGATTATAAATCTAGATGTATTAAAAAAAATCAAGGATTTGGTAGTATTTCTTTAAGTTGTGGATTGTGTTGTATTTGTGAGCACAAATATACATAACCAAAAGAAAAAAGAATACCACCTCAACCCTTAGGATTTTCAATCCAGCTTATTCACATTTTATCACTCCCTTCTTTCCTCTCTCACTCCTTTCCAAAACCCTAGCGGATCGTAACAGAATCTTACGGAACTCTTGTCGTCCATAGATTTGATTTTTATGACTTGGGTTCTGGGAATTGGATGAAGAGGTGAATTGGGTTGGTGGGTGGTGGATATTTGAAAAAAGAGCAGCGGGGTTTGTTTAGTTGTGGTGAATTGGGTCCTCCAAGTGTTTGATAAAAAGCGCAAGAGGGTTTTTGGGTTTTTTGATATAAAGACCATGGGGCTTGTGTTGGATATGATGATAATTAACTTATTTCTGAAATATCTCCAAGAAATTCAATTTATGTTGATTTGGTCATGTTTGTATTGGTTTGATGATGCTTAGAAATCTTATGAAATCCATAATCAAAATCTACACAAATCCATTGAAATCTATAATGAAAATCCATATATATTGTGGAGCCTAAAATAATCCCAAAAATTCTAGAGGCGACACATGGACTTTTATTCAAGAAAGACAAGATTGCCCTCAATAAATGGGCAGGCTTCTCAGATGTTCCCACGCACAGCTCACACCCCTGAAGGTCTCATCAGCTGAACACAACTACCCACAACTCACTTGCTCTTGGCAAGAAATTGAAGATAAGGATTAGTTACCCAAATCCTATTTTTAATACATTCCTAATTGAAGATTGACTCCAATCAAGTAAGTAATCCTAATTTAAATAAATTAAGGATAATTACCCCATTATCTCAAGATATTATTTCATATTAAATATCTTGGGAATATTTAGAGAATATGTCTCCATTAAACACTATATGGCCGGCCCTAACCTTATAAATACCCCATATTCTACCAATTTTAGAGAGCTTTTCAAACCCTAAAAAAGCCCTAAATACTTTACTCTCTCAGAGTAACTAACTTAGGCATCGAAGATCCGTTGACCTAAACCGCCCCCCTCACATCGTGGGCGTGTGAGGCTTAGGTTTTTGATCAAAGGTGTTGATTGTTTTATAGATGCATTTTCATCCAGACTGAAGACGGCGGAAATTTGTATCGACAAATTGGTGCTTTCATTGAGAGCTGATTCAAATTACTCAAATAAGCCTTTTGCATTGGTTTCGTGAAATTTCTGTTACGTTGAATTTCTCACACATCATATCAATTAATTTTTCCTAGAAAAGTTGCTTGATCAATCCCTGGAGAAAGGATACAATGGTAGGAAATTCAGAAACTACGACGAACGGAACCTCCTACGCGCAAGGATTTGGACCAGAGAGTGGAGATGAGGACATAGCCATACAATAGATGTCCTCAAGGCTCAAAACGGCGGTAAGAAGAACCCCACCGCCGCAAAGCCGCGCCACCACCATCACCACCGTGACCCAGTAGCCACGACAAGGCCATCAAGCAATGACGCCATTATCAGGCAGGAGAGCCAGGTCCATTTCCAAGCCCATGGGCAGAAAGCTCAAAACTTGGCAGTTGTTGCCAGCCAGGCAGCTCAATGGGCCCAAGCCCAAACCACTCGGCCAACAGCCATGATGTGGCAGCCCAACGACTAAGATGGCCTATGGCCATGCAGGCCCAAGGCGAGTAGGCGCTGGTCCAACATGCATTGCGACCTGTTCCGACGACTTAACTCGTGACCCAATCCATTCCAAGGTGATGTGAGAATTTCTTGACACACAAATTAAACCCTCTTTTTGACAATTGTAGTATGGATGTAAGTAGGGTATCGTTCTAGGCCGGGGATTAGGAGGGATTGCTAATCTATTCTAAATTAATTTAAAAATATTAAATAAGACTCAAGGACACAAAACTAGGCTAAAAACTCTAATAACTCGAAACACACTTAGGATAACTCAAAATAATGAAAACAATCAAATTAGACACTAGGAACTGCAATGGACGGAAATTGAATTAAAAGACTAACAACAATGAAAACTAACTAAATAATATAATTTAATAATGGGGGGGGTTTTGGTTTTGACGAGAAGTAAATTAAACGTAAATAAATTACAGAATTGACAAAAACATGAAATTAAGGTGAAATGATAAATGACGGACTAGCTAGAGGGTTCTTCTCCACACATGACACATATGCAACCTAAATTGATTTTTCAGTTGTTCTTTCAATAAATTGTAAATCTCAACGCCCCAAATTAACCGTGAACAGCACTTTTTTAATCTTCAAGTTTTCCTTAAGTTATTGAATTGGACGGGAAAACGCATACAACAATTCAAAACATTCTTCAAAAGTCCCCTACGTGAAAAGCACAATAGAGATACAATAAAAGATCATTAGACTTTGTGAAAACTATAAGCATTGACGAGGCATTCGTAACTATGAAAAGCATGATACTCTTGCCAAGAATTCACTTAACACGATTGTGGATAACAACCTTCACTACTTGTGAATATAAGTTCATAACGATTAGGTGAAATTCACTTATATTCTAGCATCAAATTCATGCATGTAAATTAAGTATGCATCCTTAATCGACATACAAAAATAAGTTATCAATCAAACAGTTAAGCAAATTAAATCACAACTCAGAAATCACAACTGAAGGTAATCAATTCATATTACAAATATATTCATGGCTTTGAATTAACCTCTAGCCAAAATAAATTTAATTACACATTATTAAAAACAGAAATAAAAGAGAAGTTTGGAAAAATTAAACCGAAAGAGGATCTGCTGCGTTCGTGCCCATGCTTGCCCTCTCCCTCGCTGACTTGCTTTCTGTTTATCACCTGGACTGCACTGCCTCACTTCTCTCACTACCGCTGCCCAATGGCAGCCCTCGTGTTCTCTGTCCGTGCTCACAGCTGCCAAATGGCAGCTGTTCCTTTTCAGCCTTATTTCCTCGCCTCTCACTCCCGCGTCTTTTTTCTGCGCCTCCTGCGCTCTCTGCGAGCTTCTCTCCTCTCCTGCGTCTCTGCGAGCTGCCCAAAGGGCAGCCCCTTTCTCCCGCTCCCAGACCCCCCTGTTTCTCTACTCACGCTTCTCTGTCTCGCTGCCCAAAGGCAGATTGTTTATTCCTTCCCTCCTCCTTTGCACCCATCTACTTCTCCTTCTTTTATTCTTTTCTGACCTCTTGTTCTCTGCTTTTGACTCCTTGGATTCCTTCTCCGCGTCGTCCAGCTGCAAAGCAGCTCTCCCTCTTGGATCCCTTTCACGTTTTCTGCTTTTTCTCTATTGCTCACGCTGTCTCTCCACTTCTTCTATTTAATTTTCTCAGTGCTTTCCACTTTCTTCTCCTACAAACACAATAAATTAAAAGTATCATAAATACTTAAAGCTTTAACTAAATTAGACAAGACAAGAAAAGAAATATAAAAGGATGAAATATATAGTTTTAAATATTGGTTTATCATTTAGCGTCACAATGGGTTGGCAATATTGTAATTTAAATTTGCTTTTGACGAATTTTATTACATAAAATTTCACTTGTTCTATTTTTATTTTCTTTGCATAACAAATCCTATAAACACAAAAAATAACGTAAATAGCTAAAAAATATAAGGAAAACTAAGAAGAAAGACGAGAGGTGAATTTGAAGTAAAAATATTATAATATGATGATCCGATCAAATACCCCCATACTTAGCTTTTGCTAGTCCTCGAGCAAAACAAAGAAAACATGAAAAAGTACTAACATGAAAAACATTAGTTTCCCCTATGTGACCCTCATAGAATTTCATTCGAGAAAACAAATCATCAAGAACCATAGCTAGCACCAACAAACTAATCCAAGTTCATCTTCCTTATTCAAATATTAGCAGTAATCTTTGAATCATCCTTGAAGTGTA